TATTAAAGAATATATCAATTATTTTCATTAATGGGAGGCTACTGGATCATGATGTATCATAATGGACTAAATGGTTAGCAGTTGTTAAGAGTGTTGTCTATTAAGTATTTCCTTAGATGTTCTTAGTGATGCTATTATAATGTCTTGCAGTAACATTCTTAGTGAGTCTTTGTTTCACAAGGGACATATAAAAAAGATGTTTTAATTTCTTTAATTGTATTCATATAATAAACATAAAGTACCAGCAAACACAAAATGTATTTTCTATAAAGACTGCATGTACAGTATGTACTAAAATACATTCTGTCACATACATTTACTTAGAAAACAAGATACTGTATGATTAACAATGAAAAATAGCAATTATCATAAAAATATTCTACTGTCTCATAATAGTAATGTAAATGCCTTTGCTGATCTAACAGACTTAACGTAATTTTAAATTACAATAATTTTACATCCTCCATTCATGTATACAGCCCTATTAAAGTCAAAAGGTATTATAACAATGTTCTTATTAAGATTAAATGACTGAATTATATTTAGTCCTTTAAACTATAAGGCAACTGCATTCCTGTTTGTTAAAATGTTTGCACTTACTTTAGCCTTTTACACAGTATCCACACAGGCAGTGAAATAATTTAGATCTCTTTTCTTTGTATAGTATCTATATCCATTTCATGAATTAAACAAGATGGTAATATTTCAGCTGCCTTTGGTTTTGTATAATTATCAGCTCACTGGTTCATGTACACTGTAAGAATACAACCACCATTTTTACTAGAAATAAGCAAAAAATCCTTAAATATATTGGGGGGAATGGTTTTCCCTCAAACCAGTAGAAATTAAAGTCTTTAAATTTCCTTCTTAAGGCTTTATTCATAGTACACCAGACTTCATCAAACAAAGCTGTATTAGAAATAATTTGGACATACTTTTAATGCATCAAACCCTGGAGACCTAGCACAGATTTTATTCCTGTAAAACTCTCATTGACATTGAAAGAAGTTTTTTTTTCCTGAGTTAGGACTTCAGGATTTGTTCCCATATTCATAAAAACCCTTTTCTGTGTTCAAGATTACAAGCACTGCACCATGCTGTAAAAAGTCTGAAGCTTTAAAGCCATCATGCTAAGTCTGAGTTGGGAGTATTTGCTATTTTAGGGAATTTGGAATAGCGAAACCAACATATAGAGGGCTGTGGATGTGCTGAATACCTTTCTGAAGCTTCCTTAACTGTGTAGCTTTCCATTGACCTTCTCATAAGCATTAAGATTTATACTAAAAGATCAAACCATACTGGGAAACTATAGCCTCTGACACCAAAGAGCCAGGTGAATGTTATCCTCTCTCAGGGATGCATTCCCTTATAGCGGGTTAGAGGAAATCTTTTTCACCTTGTGTAACCACCTATAGTAGTAACACAACAGCTCTCACTGAATTGAACTAATTCATGAAAATCCTAATCACAATCTGAAAAGACAACTTCCCATTGGAAACATAATTCAATTGCACTGAAAGAGCATTACCATCACACATATACACATAGTGTTTCTATGAATGACTGCAGCTTGGGAAGAGTAGTCTTTCTGCATATTTACTGACAGATACTGCAAGACAGCATATAGCAATAGAAGTGACTGCTAGCCTGTGTTAGGTTTTTCATGCAGAAAAAAAATCTGATGTTTTATACTGAGGGAATTGTCAGAAGAATGAAAATGAACTTAAAAAAAAATGGGTGCACTGAAATATTTTTAAGATGGTACTTGTAAAAAAGATGAAATTCAGGATTTTTTTTTAAGTCAATGCAGTCCAAAAGTATGGTCTATCTCCCATGTACAAATTCAATGGGAAAATCATGTAACACATTCATATTTAATTCATTTTTCTCCACTGTGAGCAATGCTGGTGTATTTAAATCTAATGTAGTAGAAACTACAAGGACAAATGCCAATTGGTTAGCCATCTATCTTCTCCCTTCTTCACATGAAATGGACAACATGAATCCTAAATTAGGTGCCTGGGCATAAATGTTACTTTTGTTGTATCATGTTTCAGATTTGACTTTCATTTTGTAATCTGTGGACTCTCTGGCATGGTGGGTTATGCCCCAAGTTTACTGAACAACTCTAATTAAAATGGCTCTTCTTCCTATATCCAGTTACCTTTGGTTAATATTCATTTGCACTCCCATCCCCACTTCCAAGATTTAAAAAAATAAACAAAAAAACCCAAACCTCTGCATCAGCTGTTATTTTTTGTTAATTGTATTGTAGCAACACAGTTAGGAGCCTCCACCAAGGCATGTTGAGCTAAACATGTATATGCACATGACAAAAATGTGGTTTCTTTGTACCAAAGAACTTATTGTCTAAATGACTGCATTTATATAGTCTAACAGAACTCTTTAAATAGACTAAAAAACTGATATGATTTCTTTAGATAGAAGTTGATTAGTTTTTGCCACATGGTGAAATTCCCAGTGAGTTAGTAGAAAATCCAAGTGAAATTCCAATGAGCAGGTAAAATTCCAGTTAAGAAAAAAAATGCCAAAACACAAGAATTTAGAACTGATGGGGTGTGCTATGACTCTTGTAAACCATGTAGTTCAGTGAAACCATCTATACAGTAGCGTATATAACGCTTATGAAGGTCCTATTTGCCAACTTTGCACAATTTCTAAATAATAATAATAATAATAATAAAGACGACATTGGAAGTAAAGGCCTATGCATTTAAAATCCAAGTCAAACAATAGCCTGATTGAATCCCCTTTTGCTGCAGCACTTCACATGATGCTTCTTTAGGAAGGTTCTGGGAGAGCAAAACCGAACACAATAGTTCTCATTTTTAAGAATATTTTACCTTTCACAAAAACCCCCAAAACAAATACTTTTGGTTTATTTGAAAAAAGAACTGCAAAGAACTTGTGCCAGCTTATTTTCCAATGTATTAGTATTAAATTGATTGTACTTAATCTACTCCAAAAATATATAATCACACTCCAAAATTTCACCGTATATGAAGATGATGCGTCTTCTGCCTGTTCTCTAACTGCTGAAGCTCTAAGTCAAATCCATATGTTTTGAATGCCCATTACTAGCATGCGAGTGTGATAAAGGAGTGGATCAGAACAACAGCTTCAGGAATATTTCCTTTGGCTCCAGACACTACTTATCTTTTTGATAATGAATCTAGAGGCAAATTTAAAGTGAAATTCTCTGCCAAAATGCATGCAAGGGAATGTAGTACATCTCATCCTCCACATCCAACTGGATCAAAAATATTGGTATAGAGTTAGGACTTGTCCCTTTAGAAAAACCCTACTATGCCATCAAAGGAACCAAGACACACTTCATGGCTTGAAAAAGTTTTCTTGGAAAATACAGTATCCTATTATTCAATTGTGATTAGCCACCATCAAAGAAGGACACCACCTGGGTACATGACAAATAACTGATATTACTATTAGCAACAGTGGCTGTTTTAATTTATACTAATTGTAACACTGAATATCTCCATTGCATCCTATACATGCAGGGCGCATCTACACGTGCGCCCAACTACACAGATGTTACTGCACAGTCATTTAGTACTTGCTTTAGCAAGTTGTTACTGTACAGTCCCAGAGGCGCCCAAGTCGTTTTTGACCCTACTGTGCAGTAGCGTCGGCATCATGATTCGTGTCTGCCAACTGTGCATTGCCGTAGCTCGTCACTATGGCGACATAGCGTCTCATGTAGACACGCCCACATGCACTCTTACTTTATTCTGTTGACTAAGTAACCTCTTTTTAAATTGCTGAAACCTGATCTGTATCTGTCCAATAAATTTGGTTTTTGTTTGATTGCTTTTTTTATCCCTATTGTTATATTTCTGGTTTTCTTTGGTAACACTAAAATGCACAATAATGAATACTGAATGTTTGATATTTTCTATAGGTGAATAAAAACTGAAATATGGATTCAAAAAACAACTTTATGAACTTTGTGGTCTTATTTTAAATACAAGTGCATGCAGTTCATGCAGCATTAGTCTCCCACCTTTTATAATGATTTTAACATCTCTATTGTAAGTAGATCACATTCAAACATTTCCCCATTGCAGTTCATGTTACATAGCCATTGGTTTTATTCAAATTTTCTATTTTTCACTTAAAAAGAAATTAATAAATGCTTACAACTAAAAGTCTTGAATAAATTTGGGAGAAATGAGTACTAAATTCAACAGCGTATTTGAGTATAATTTTGTGACATGGTTTTGTGGGAACTATTTTAATACTTCTGTAAGAATAGAAGAAAAGATGGAAAAAAAAACAAACCTTTCTGGTAAATAAAGAAGGATCTGTAGCTAGTTCCAGGATAAGGAGATACAACTCTATTGTTCTATGAAGTTTGCCTCAGCTAAGCCCTACCCACACAACAGCTTGTTACCACAACAGTTCTTTGTTTTCTTATTTGAAGTAAGCACCAACATCAAACTTAAATTCATAACACAATTTTTTAGCACCAGCAAATGATTAAAAAAATATCATCAGGGCCTATCTAGTTCTACAAATCATCTCCATCATCGGTACTAAAGCTACTTCTCCGACTACTCTCTTTTGATGCAGCAGGTGATGTGGAAGACAAGAGTGGATCTGTTCCAAATGGCGATATTGTGTCATCGAGTAAAATTTCCTCTAACCTTTGTTCTTCTTTTAAAGCGGCACTAAAAGAGAGATCTGTGAAGTGCGAAAGTGGATCGGAAAAGGCTATCGATCCATCACAAATGTCAGAACTTGGTCCATGAGTCAGAGCCATTTGCTGAGAATAGTCTATGACATTCTCTTCTGGATATGTCTGTTGCTTGATGACTTGGGCAGCTAAATCCACAGCAGCAAGTGAAGACATGACTGGCAGACCATGAGCACGAGCCTGGATTTCTAGTTCCTACCATTTAAAAAAAAAGATAATGATTTAGAAATAAGTCTGATTTCTTCAGAACCACAGTAGATAACAGCATTCATACACAGAATACGTACACATTAATGATAATTCTTAATTCAATTTTGACAATATGTTTAAAAATGCAATATGTGTATAATCCAGGATAATAACAATGAGTAACACACGTCAGTTTTCTTTTTAATTCTCATCCTGTTCTTAAATAGATCTCCTATGGGAACATGAGAGATATGACAGCCCCCCTAATACTATTACCTACAGTACTGAACCACTTTAAAGTGATAGAAAAATGCTGCAGACATTTCTACTCGTTAATTATCCACAAGGATTCAGGACTCCTATCAGCAGAAATAGCAGGTATCTTACCCAATGATATATATGTGTGTGCACATATATTTCTTTAAATCTGGCATCTCAAGGTATGGAAGGCCATATTCTGATACTTCATGTCACATGAGCAGATGATGTGTGACTTAATATAACATGGCACAACGTACCCCAAGGCAATGCAATGCCGTGGAATTTTTACAAAGGGGAAAAGAAGATACAGGAGAGGATTTAGTGTCCAATATTGTATTAGGAAATGTTTTTCCTTTCTTTATTTTTAATTTTTTTCTCTAGTAATAATGTGGACAGTATAAGGCGGCAATGTTCTTTCAAATACTTTATTGGTCTTTCTCTACACGTTACCGTATATAAATCCTAATGATTAAAGGAATTTCTTAAAAATCAATGAAAAAAAATGAACACAAAAAACACAATTTTACAAATCTGTTTCTATTTTTATATGAAAAGGTGTACCTTTGTCACAAGGCCAATGCATTTTTGGTAATGGTATTTTGGAAAAAATTATGTAGGTGAATAAAATTGGATGAGGGATAAGTATTGAGAAAGCTTTGTAGTTCATAGTAACAGTCTTATACAAACCTGAATTCGAAGTAGAAGTCTTCTGTTAGCCTGCTCTAATTTCTTCTGTCTGTGTTCTAATTCTCTGGCTCTCTGTTGTTCTTTTTGTAGCCACTTGATGTACTCCACTGATGCTTTTAAAATAGTTCCTTTGTTCCAGCGCATATCACTGCAGAATGTAGAGATAACCTTTTCACAATTGTGCATGTCAGCAGAATTCATAAGAACTTACAAAATCTTTTACATTAATATGAAATAATGATTTACATGACTATTATTCACTCTTAGATATTATTGCTTCTGAATGGAAATTTTAATAGAATAGTTAAGAAGCCCTTATATAGTAAAATTAATCCCAGAATGAAAATAAGTGTCAAAAGAAAGTAATAAAGTGACTTTTTGTGGGAGAGCTAAATGCAATATCATGATTCTACCATTACAGTTTTTATATTTTTAGTGAAAATTGCTTTTATTATTAACTCTAAGATTAAAATCTATGTGCAGTATTTCTGCATTAATGAACTAGGAAATATACATTACTGAAGACTTAAGCCTAAATTTTTAAAGATCATTTCAAATATACTACTCCTTTTACCTGACTTTCTAATGAGGTTGCTTTTATGCTTGTTGGGAAAAAAAATGGTCTGTGCTGAATGCTGATCTTCACTGACGATAGAGGTAGCAAATCACAGTTTAGCAATCACACTGTGTAACACGACAAAACTGACTCATTCAAACCCTTTGACAACAGCTGAAAAAACATATACTGGGTTAAGTAGACAACTGATATAAATCCCAACTGAAAATAAACACATCCTTGACAAGGATGAGATGATCCTTGGCCCTGATCTAGCAAAGCCCTTATGCACACATTTAATTTTAAATTCACAAGTGATCCCATAAAGTCAATGGGCTTATTCGTGTGCTTAAAATAAGCATGCACTCCAGGACATTTGCTGGATCACTGGCCTTGAAACAAGAAAAAGTTTTATTAAGGATGTCAATTTTTTTAATAAAAGTTTGAAAATTTTATAATACAGGTAAGAATACAGCTGGCATTATAGATAAGGATGGTCTAACTTCAAGGCCAGAAAGTCAATACAAATTTAAACAGAGGAAAGGACTCACATGAGCCCTGCAATGGGTGTAAAAACTGACTGGTGAAAGCTTGTAGGAAGGTGGATCACTTCTTAGATTCTGAACCAAAGGTGTGTACTTGGATACTTGCTATGTATGGTGAAAATAATATAAATTATGAAAACAAATCAATAGTCAGTTCCCACTGCTGTTTAGATTGCAAACTCTGAAGAACACTGAAATGATACTTCTTCTACTATTTTAAGGAAAGCCTTTGAAAATGCTATTCATACATACACACCTGTGGTGAGTAAAATATAATATTTCCTTCATTCTCAAGTAAAAGGGTGAGTGACTATATTTTGCAAGTGCCTTAGTGAATTTTGATGGCAGTTTTGGAAAAAGATAAGGGAATGATAATATCTATAGCATGTCCTTCAGGGAAATACATCCACAATCCTCCTAGGTACATAAGGTCACCCCCTCATATTAAAGGACAGAATAATACCATGCAAATTTTATGACTACTTGCACTTAACTAGCTCAGCTTGAAAAAAAAATACAACACTACAAAATTAGTTGCAAAGACACAGTATTTGGCAATTTGGAAATACTTTGGATTTGGTGAGGGAACAAATTTATTTACAACTACTGAGTATAGGTATGAAGTCTGGCAAAAAAATATCACAGAGGTGCTCCAGGTAATCACAGACATTATGAATTAAAACAGGGAAATTTTGACAAAAATATTTTTCAATTAATATTTCCCTTAGATCTAATAATAAACCATATATTATGGGCTGCACTTTGAACTCACTAATCAGTTATTTGCAAGCTTTTTCCCTCCCCATAGTATTAATAACCCTAATTATCATATTCTGAATTTTGCTGACTTCTCATAATGGTGCTGGCTGGACAGTTTGAATTTCCTCTGATATAATGGTGCTAATTTTTCTCTTACTTTAAGATAAATCTTCACTGTGAACCTAATTGCCAGATTTAGATTTCCAGTGGAGATAGATCTAGTCAACTCACAAGTGCTAAGGAATAAATGCTACATAGCTTGTAATGTGACATTTACACGTTTGAAGGGATTGTCCCTACTTTTGTGAACCCTGATAAAAAGCCTCCGGCCCCTGAGATATTCTTCTAGTAAGGAATTCTGAATCTTTCCTTTAAACTCTGGAAACTCGGAACTGAACTACATCACTGACAGTTTCTTAAGTGTGTTATCCAACAAGTTCATTGTTCAATACCTGAGACAAAGTACAGAATTCTTCCCAATTGGCAAATGTGAGCATGTGTGTGTATGCACGCATATGCACACACATGCCACACTATACATCATTGGTGGGATGTTTTGCTAAATAAGAATACTAAATCCCAATGTGCCAGTATTTTTATGACATATATTGATGTCTGTTTTCTCTCTGTGGATGCCCTCTCATCCCCCAATATACCTCGGGTACATAATGACATCTTCCTTGTATGGATACGAGGGAAGGAATCTCTAGAAAAAAATTCACCAGATCTTTAATAACTTCCACCACTCCATCACACAACTCTGGAATACTCCACCTAGCAAATTTATTTCATAAACACTACAGAGAAGGTTTGCAATGGCCACAGTCCCACCACATTGTATCAGAAACCAACCAACTGCTACACCTAACCACATGCCACCAGCTTTCATCCTAAACACACCACTAGATCCATCTACAGACAAGCTTGATGATACACCTGTATCTGCTCTGATCTCATCAACCAGCATGCACATCTTGAGGATCTGAAGCAGGGATTCCTACAATTATAATACAACTCCAAAACTGTAGCCACTCAGATCAACAAAGCCAGACTTAGTCCTTGCATCAACCTGCTACAGTGTTAACCCTGGGACAAGAAAAATAGGGTCCCTCCCCCAACACTCCATTGCTGACCTCAGGATTGCTGCTCTCAGGCAGCAAACATTTAAAAATTGATTTGAATGGGGAATTGTGAAACAAGAAATCACCCACAGGCTGGATTGTGTTAAGTATGGTTTATACACAGACTATGGATTCTTATTCCATTACCTAGATTAGTTTTTGCGACTCCCTTGTTCCTATGGGTTTATTGCTTGCTTGTTCACCTCTCCCAGCACTGCCCCCTGCCCCTCTTCCCTCTCTCCCATCTTCCCCTGCCCTTCTACCTTTGTATTCAAATCATTCTTTATGTTTTATACATTGGTATATGCAAGTCCTTTCACAGCATTTGATGAAGTGAGCTCCAACTTACTGAGATGAAGTGTGCACTATATATATCTAATTTAGTTACTCTATAAGGTGCAAATCTACTCTGCCTATAGCTAAATTTTCCAGAGCCTGAAGGGGACACAGCCTTAAATACGCTAGGACAGATTCAGTGGAAGGCATGAAACAACAATGCATTAATCTGGTTTAAGCTGAGCTCCATCCATACTCTTTTAAACTGGCAGATGGGCAGGTAATAAAAAAGCCTCTGTGCTGGCTCTATATGAAACTGTTTTTTGCTTGTGCTGGTTTTCTTCAGCATCTTTACCCATGGAAACGGAATGGAGTATAGAAAAGCCACATCAGAATACTGTCTGTCTAGGGTATCCCCTATTGGAAGGGCAGGAACATAATCCATCAGGATAGTGCCCAATTGGCAGAATAGTGTGGGAAAATGTGCTTGCATAGGTATTATCAACAGTATGTGCCACAAGAGACAGCCAGCCCCTGTGTGTGGCAGGTGGCAGACTGGGAAGGGGACAAGCAGCACAGTGGTAGATAGTAGGGCTGTGTGAAACACCATTGTTTTGTTTCAACATCCATTTTGAAGGGACAGTGTCTCAATTTCATCTTTTCATTTCATCGAAACCGTTTCACTGTTTTGATGCATTTCGATGTTTTGCCCATAGGCTATAATAGGAAATCACGAAAATGCCTACAACTTTGTCATTTCTTGCCTGATTCTGATGAAAATTGCACTCTTCTGAGGGCATGAAGCCTGCAGTGTCAAGGAGATGGGTACAGAGTTTTCTGGGAAACTTCACCTCAAACTGCAAAAAAGCAAAACTTGTCATACTTGCTGGCAGTGGCAGCCTCCTGTCATCTGGTGCACAGATCCAGGGGCCCACACCCCTGGGAGGGCTGCAGGGCTGTGCAAGACTCCTCTTGGGGGTGCAGGCCTCTGGATCTGTGCCAGATGACAGGAGGCTACCACTACCACTTGGGACCAGTGCTGGGTGCATGGAGCTCAGCCTGGCAGTGGGAGGTGGAGAGCAGCCCTGGCTCTGCCCACCTCCCACCACCAGGCTGCACTCCATGGGGCTGGCAGAGCTGATCAAAGCACAACCCTGGCTGTGCCCACTTCCTGCTGCTGGGCTACACTCCATGGGGCTGCAGAGCCACTTGAGGTGCAGCCCAGCGGTGGGAAGTGGGAAGAGTCAGGGCTGCGCTCCACCTCCCACTGCTGGGCTCACCTCACACTGCTGGGCTGTGCTCCGCGGGGCTCTGCAGCCCCATGGAATGTAGCCCAGCATCAGGAAGTGGGCACAGCCAGGGTTGTGCTCCAATCGGCTCTGCCAGCCTTACGGAGCACAGCCCAGTGGTGGGAGGCAGGGGGAGCCAGGGCTGTGCTCCACCTCCCACCGCCCGGCTGAGCTCCATGGGGCTGCAGAGCTGCTTGAAGCGCAGTCCTGGCTCTCCCCATCACTGAGCTGCTTCGAAACTTGAAATGTTTTGAATGCCCTCATTTCATTTTGAAGTTGTTTTGAAGCTTTTTGTTTCATTTCAATTGCACTGCTTTGAGCTTGAAACGCATCAAAACAGCTTTGAACCAAAACACTTGGCAAAATTTCACACAGCCCTAGTAGATGGGCCAAGGAGCAAAAAGGAGAGCATTAGATCAGGCAAGGAGCATAGGGCAGGAAGCAAAAAGCAGAGCAGCATCTTGGGCAAGGAGCAGTAAACTGGGCAGCAGATCAAGTAAGGGAAGGGGATTGGAGTGGCACATGGGGAGGGCAGGGAGCCAATTTGTGGCATGCCTACCAAAAAAAGATATTAAAAAGGGATACTGTATGAGAATATTATAGGTCTTATACATCATCCTTTTATTTATTTATGGTAACTGAAAGATAAAAATTGTCATGGGAATTTTTTAATTCAATTCTTGTTTTTCAATTTTTTCTATGCTAAATCTGAAATTCTAAATTAAGATGCAGATATGTGAAACGTAACTTAAATGGCATTGCAAAATTCATCTTTATTGCTCCATAATCGTTTCCATGTCAGCCATGCTCCAGTTACAGATAAAATTATGACTCTCTAGTTATCAGCCCTACAAACTCATTTGGGAATGAGCAGTAGGTATTAATTATTTTATTTTTTTTAAAAACATTTTAAAATAATATTTTAAAAAATCAGTTATATTTTTAAAATATTTGGAAATAGCACATTGTGTATCTAGCTAGCATATAGAACTGCTGAGCTCTTATTCTTCACTCTTGTTCCTCCATTTCCTTTCTAGTATTCATCACATTAATTTTTATCTTATCGCATTAATACCTACACATGTGAATAACTCTTCAATTGAGCTCAATCCTAAATGTTTTCAAGATTGGGCTTCTAACTGTAAATTCTTTGTGTGTGTCAGTACACTATTCAACATGGTGGAACTTAAGTCCTGATCAGGGCATCTGGATGCTACTATAACAATAATAATTTGTCCTTAAATTAGTATAATGAATATGTTATAACAATTGTTACTGTTATTATGGACTAATTTAAATAACTGCAGTGTCTCAGGAAGGCCTGATTCAACTATAAAAGTAAACAACAGATATACAATGTCTTCGAAATCACTCAGGGTGCTGACAGATGTGGAAAAACCCCCCAAAACAAAACAGTGCTTTATCGGAAGTCCGCAGCGTGTATATAGATCAGGCATTTCAGCAGGGATTTTTGGCAGTTTTATCTAAAGCTGATTCAATCACTATTAGATAAAAGTGCTGAAAAGCCCCACTGAAGCTCCCAATAAATACAGATGTTGGGCAAGTTGGGTCCAATTAATGTGATGCCTCTTCTGGGGATGCACTGTGCTTGGTGCGAGGGTGCACCAAGCTTACAGCATCATTTGGAGGGGAGGGGGGGGTTCACATTGGTAAGCAGCCTCAGTCTTACTACATTAGCCATTTCCAATTTCACCAACTGAAAACAACAAATGCCCAGTAACTTCATTATACTCTCTCCCAAACCACTCATGTCTATTCAGGAATAAGAAACAAAGCCATTGGCCAGCTCGTTCTTAGCTGGTCTAAATCAAAGTAGTTTTATTGAAGTCAACACAGTATCAGCAGCTCAATGAGGCTGAAGATCCAACCTCATGGAACAAACATGTCCCATCATATATTTTTAATACAAAGTAATGATGAACTCAGTTTGTGAATAAGTTTTAGGTTGAATGTTGCTTTTATCAATCATAGCTTGGGCAAAGCAACAATAAACAAAACAATTCAAATCAGAGTATATTTATGAACACTTCCAGTTCCTCAAAATAAATTAGTCAAAAATATGCAGATGTATTTGAAGGGTTCAATTCTGAACCTCTTTGTTGACTTGTATCAGACAACTTGTATGAGTAAGTGCTATTCAGTGCAGCCCACTCAAAGCAAATCTGCTTTTATATCATCACTATACATGGACCACTATTTACATAACATTTAATAATTGATGCAGAAAGCCAGAAGAACTTTGTCTATCAAGGCTTTCCACAGACATACAACAATTCAAAATACAGCAGGCAACAGACAGACACTGAATGCATAGAGAAGGTGACAGCAATCCATTTATTCTTCCCTGAAGGCTTAGGGAATCTGTGAACTTCTCATATCAACAATATTAGGTTGGAATTCTCAGATGAAGGGCTTTTCTCTTGTTATTTCTGGTCATTCCGGTCTGTTTGGAAATATCATGGGAAAGATGTTCACATTCCAGCACAACTTGGAGCCTGGTTTATTCAGCTCAACCTGGAAATCCATATATTTAAATAAACTAGTTTTGAGTTTCAACAAAATACCAAATGGTATTTGGGTTTCTCCTGTTTGATTTTTAAAATATTTGACCATCTATTTATGGTTTTACATTTCTGAAGCACCTAACAGTTAGCTCTATCTATTTACTGAAAATTAAACTAAAAAGTGCTTTGCAATTTAATTGAGCCAAGATTCCTACCACCAATTCCTTCCCTCTGATAAAGTGAATTTAGAATCTTCATCCCTTTAAATCACATAAACTATAACCCAAATTACAAAATTAAATAAAAAAGTAGTAAAGAGGTTTTAGCAGAAACGTAAGACCCCCACTGAATCTCAGCTGAATGCAAATAAGTTGGTCATAAAAACAACATAATAAAAGGAAGATACAAATCATACCTTTCTCTTTGCAGTTACATCACTAGTTTCAAAAGCATTTTTTAAATTAATAAATGAGGTGTAAATGGTGCATTTGAGAAAATGTCATGGAGGGATAATACATGACAATATAGAGAAAGTCTTTAGGAGATAATAAATATCTATCTTTTTACATAAAAGGAAGAGCAACCTAGGAGCATAAGAAGGAAAACAAGAACAGTAGTGTGTGTATATAAATACCCATACTATATATATAGTATGGGAACACTTGGAGGTAGTGAAAGGGAAGGACTATGCCATGGAGTAAATAATTGTTCAGATGCACTGAGCCTATTAGATTAATTTGTATTTACAACTGAAGATAAACTTCATGTGCATTAATCCTTTGATCCTTTTCATCTGACCAAGCATAAGTAAAATTGGACTGGGGCCTCCCTTTTCAAAAATGACTAGTGAATTTGGATGCCACATTTTGGATGCCAAATGAAGACTGTGATAACCTGTCCTCTGAAAATGAGGCCCCTTAAAAAGGTGTCAAATAGGACATCTGAAAAAACAGAAGCACCCAAATTCACTGATCACTTTTGAAAGTATGAGCTTGTGCGACTGTCACACCAAGCCTGTCATGTTGACAGAATAAGAAAAGAAAAAATATGACCTCTTCATTATCATTGCCCAAAACCTTTTCATAAAGCAACACTTTAACAGATCAGTACAATTTGTTCATATATTCAATTATGTGAAATCTAGAAGTTAACCCAAACCAAAGCATTCAATTCCAGCACCCCTCCACACTTTCAGGGAATGAGGACCTCTTTCTGTAATTTGTAAGTCATTCCTATTTCTAATTGCAGTGTAATTACTACTTCATAGATAAAAACCAACACTGCCATCTGTGTTTCTTTGAGTAATCTTTCCTCACAATTCTTAGAAGGGTATGACACTATGATTAAAATGCCTTTAGACCCAATGTGCCTATGAAGGATATGGAGTAATGTTGTATCCCTGATGGTCCAGAAATTGTGAGAGGCAAGGAATTTTTGGGGTGATATCTTTTATTGAACCAACTATATAGTTGGGAAAATGGTAGACAAGCTTTTGAATGCAAGGTATTCTTCAGATCATTCTTTTTCTAACTGCTTGCATTTGAAAGCTTGTCTAACTTTATCTCAACTATGCATTTGATCCAATAAAAGATATCAACCCAAAAAATCCTTGCCTCTTTATGAAGGATGTCAGCGGTGAACAAAACATTATTTAGGAGCTTTGGGAGGTCCTTATATTAACTGAACTGGTTCAACCAATCCTTGTATTAGCAGCATCTATAGTGGTATGCCCATTTAATTAATGTTGGGTTGATGCTATAGAAAAAGCTGAATCTGTAAAAATGTCAGTCTGTAGAGACAACTAAGACATGTTACTTTTCTCACTGGTGATTTCTATCAAAGTGGCTTGTTATGCCAAGCTTGTACTCATGTAAGTCTCACACAGCTTTATATTCTTATAGAAATCCTGAATGTAATCAAAATTTTCCTAGCCCTCAGGAAGAAAGGCTGAAGTGTCAATAGATATTTTTATTCAGAGCATCATGCAGGCTTCCATTGACATGCAAATGAAAACCACAATATTTGTATAACCAGTTTTATCCAAGTCTGTCATGCTCTTTAGGCTTTTTGAGTGGCATGAGAAATCCAAAGCTAAAGTCCAGGCATTAAATAACACTGTTACTGCTAATCCTGAAAGAGACTGTCTTATAGACTGGTCTTTTTTCCCCCTACTGATGACAAATATTAACATCATAGAAAAGAAGCAGAGTTCAGGCAATATAAATTCTTAGTTACAGTAAATAAATATATCAATATAAAATATAGCAATTTTTATTTTTTATAAAACATTAAAGGTCTTTCATTTCCACCTTTACTTTTTGATTTCTTTTTCAGTGAATGTGGGTTTTCTGAAATGTGTCTATCCAACAACTTCAGTATGAAGGGAAGGTAACAGCAGTGCACATGTTGTCTTATCCCACCAGAGGGACTATCTCTGAGAATGAGAGGATATTTCTTTCCCT